CATCAGGTAATTAATGATGAAAGAAGTATTATGCTGTATATTGGGACAGAAAAATATTGAAATCTATTTGAATAAGCCATTGTCTTCTCTGAGATTCCCCAGAGAACATGAAAAAAGTCTATTTTAGACAACATCAGACTTTGCAAATTGAACTTTGCAACCTTGGTCCCAAATCTTTACTCTATCCAGGGTGGTGGTGGTTTCTGTGTACTGACTCATAGTGACCCTGTTTCCAAGGCAGCCAATCTTTATAGGAGCAGAAATCCTCATCTTTCTCACAGAGTGGCTGATAGATTCAAACTGCTGGCCTTGCGGTTAACACTCTAACTCATAACCCACACTGCTAGGGCTCCTTGACTCTTCCCACACTGCCTGTGTAACTTTGGAAAGTTATTAACTTCTCTATGCTTCAGGCTTCTTAGATATAAAGTGGGGATAGCAATTATGCATAGCTCATCGGGGTATTGCGAGGATTAAATGAGCTAATATACTAATATACTTTTAGCATAGTCTTACAGAAGTCTTCCAAATTATTAATGATACATATATTTTCCTCAGATTCCTCTTCTCTAAGCAGTTTGGGATTGACTGTAGTGTAAGCATGGCATTTTGATAAGCTGAGGAGGAAAAACAACAACAACAAACTAACTAAAAATAAGACAAGAAAAACCCCATAAACATTTTGAGCGTTATATGAGGCTTCAAAAACTTCGTGGAAAAATTCCATTATCTTCCTATCCCAGTTTTCCACAAACTTTTAAAAGCCACTTGTGTGCTGCCCTTCTGTCTCTCCTCCATCTCCATTGCCCTCGTGTTGCCATTTCCAGTGGGTCTCTTCAGTGGGGAACATCTGACCATCCATGGTCAGTGGTCACATGAAGTCATGCTTGACTCCATAGGCAGAGTTGCATGAGGCAGGAGACATCGGAGAAAGTTCCAGGGTTTTGTTAACCATTTTGCCAAAGTCTGTAGCCAAAATCTTTCTTCTCATTCATGTTCCCTTTAGGATAACGTAGAACATGATTCACTGAAATGGTTTGGGATGACCCAGTGTGGGTGACCTTGTTTACACAGGGAATGACACTTTAAAGTCAGAGAGATCAGAGTTCAAGTCCTGTCCGTGCCACTTACTATCTCTGTGACTCTTGACAAATCACTTAATATCTGAAAGCTACATTTTCTCATTTACAAAATGGGCCTACTAAAATGTGCCTACTTGCTAGTGTGATGGTGCTAATCAGATGTGATGATTTGTGTGACAGCATCTTGTAAGCTGTAAATGGTGGCATAGATATTGGTTGTTATTATTAGTGGTTCCATTAATTTCCCTGCTCTCTACGAGCAGGCCTGCATTTTAGCAGCACCTGGGTGCTGTCATCACTTAGTTGACGATTTTATTTCAGAGCTTTACTCCAAAGCCTGGATTCGGCCATTGTAAGCCGGTTTCTCTGGCAGTGGAGATGGAGTATGCCCATCACTGGATTATTCTAGGGTACAGGGCTGAAGCCCGAAAGACAAGGGAGCCTGACAGTTTTCAGAGGGCTTATTCTCTCTCCTTCAATTTGTAAATCACACAATATTAATAGGAAATGTGTTGGAGTTGCGAGCTGTTTTTTGGTGATACTGTTACTCTGATAGTCGATAAAACACTTTCAGAAACCAAGAGAATTAGAGGTTGGCCAGGGTGGAATGAATGCTATAAATCAAGATTACCTGAAGGGAATATGAGAGATAAGGGATTAAGCCAAGTATAGTGATAACAAGAAGAACTATCCAAGGAGCTTGGAAAATTTTACCAACCTTCAGGAGCAAGTCTCAGTGCTATTTTTTTTTTTTTTTTTAAACTCATTCTGATGGAACATTTTCACTGCAAATTCATGTCATAAGAATATTGGTCTGTAATAAATTTTTGTGTACAGGACTCAATGTAGTGACTTTTGGCTGTTTTGAAGTGTTTTTAAAAAAAGTAAGAGGAAAGAGATACCACTGTCAGATATGAACAGAATCCAATGGGGTCAGACCTGTGATTTAGTTGGGAGTGGGGGATGGAAGGGAGGGTGTCACAGGAAACAGTTCCAAATACTTTTTTTTTTTTTTCAGGCTTCCATCATACACAGAATTCAAGCATAGGCAGATGCTTCCCAGGGAAGACTTCATTTTTCTAGTCTTTCGCTACTTAAAAAATGGAGCAAATGAATGGCTGGATAGAGACCCTTGGCACCAAGTGACTGGGAGTAAATGGAACACTGCAGGGACACGGAACTTTGCCCGCCACTGAGCATATTACTCGAGAAATACAGCACGGAACTCAGCAGGCTTCTGCAAACAACGCATCCCTTTAAGTTAATTGGTGTTATATAGAAGCTGAAATGCTCCGCTTATTTACAAAGCTACAGATTTATGTAAAGCAAAACCAATTACACTTAATGCCTAAACTATTCCAGGTGCTCAATGATAATGTTGCTAGGCACTAGAGAAGAAACTGCTGTGTGAATGCATCCTGTTCCGAATGGAAGCATGTGTAGTTACTGCAATTTAGCTAATCACGAGTGTCAATGCCCATGTGAGAATTCTAAGCTCTTTTGGTGTTTGCTTTGGGTCAACTTTATAATTCTGTAGATCTTCTTCCCTCTTTAAGGACCAGTGAAAGCATAATGAATACCCTTTTCTATTTTAATTTAGAAATTAAACAGATGAAGGTAAATGTGGAGGAAACAACAACAACAAAATAAGGCAGACTCCTTTTCTAACAATCAGAGAGATTGTGAGAGCTTTTTGCTTATGCTGAGATAAGGTGTTTAAGGCTTACTTGATCTTTTGGGTGTTCATTAAACCCAACTTGCAAACTTCATATTTAACCTTGTGCACCAAGGAAAGCTTTTAAGATATATCAGGAATCTACCTCACTCTTCTGCCAGTGTATAAATGCTTAACAAAGAAAGATTCTAAAAAGTTGGAAGGAAAAGAATTTGTGCTTATAAAAGATAGCTTTTCCACCTGTCCTTCAAGCAAGCAAATAAACAAATAAATAGTTTGAGTAAGAGAAACACCTGGCGCTTTCCAGCTGCTCTTTGGCAATTAAAAAAAAAAGTGTATCATGCCTAATCAAGTTGAATAAATCTTTTATTCTACAGATCTAAAATATTTTATGTTTACACGAGGGGGTGCTTAATTACAAATCGGTGGCAATCAGCTGATATATCTATCTATCCTATCTAGCATTAATTGTCTGGTAAGCAGTGGTTCTAAGACTTTGAGGTGCATACAAATAGTTTGGATGTGCTTGTTAACACTTCCAATACCTGGGCTTCACAACAGAAAGAAGATTTGAATTAGGGTTATCTGTGATAGAGCTGAGAGAGATTGACTCGAAGCAGAGTGTGCTCAACTAAACTTGGAAAAACAACAAACGTTCCTAAGAGGTACAGGACACTAGTTTAGACTTTCTTTTAAAATGTATTTCTACATTTCTCTGTTAAAGGAAGAATCTCTTTTGGAAGACCACTCCATGCATTTGGATTGGTAGCAGTAAAGACTATAAGATGCCATTTGGGATAGGAAATTCCTTTAAGCATCTTTATTTGGTTTGGCCCCTTACCTTTCTCTCAATACTCCTTTAACCTTCCTTGAATCCTAATAAGGCCATCATATACATTATTTTAGAACTTCTTTCTTATACAGGTATTCTCTTAGTTAAGGACCTCAATTTTAGTAAAGCTTCTTTTGAATCCCAAGAAAAGTTCCTTCATCAATCCGTATCCTGATAGTGTATTCGAGCATAATCATGTATAGATTTATTATTGACTCGGACAGTACAGGTATGTATTGCTAATGTCCACTGTTCTGTGAAACAGGATGTTATATGATTTGGGTGTTGTAGGAACACCATCCTAAAACCTCCTGAGAGCCTGCCTTTGGTTGTCCTTGTGCTGCTGCTGAAGCCGCAGGCAGGTGCTGGAGGAATTGGCAGTGTCGAGGGTGCTGGTGAGGGCTGAGTGAATGATAATGACTTGGGGAGGGAGAAGCGCAAACTCTGCCACTGTCTTGCTGTTTCACCTGCCTGGCCTCATCTACCTGTATCATGCTTGTAGTCTATTACTGGAAGAGTCTGGCTTTGGGGTGTTTAAAACCATTGTTGTTATGTACCATACAGTCAGTTCTGACCACAGTGACCCTATCTAGTGTTTCTGAGGCTGTAACTTTTTGCATGTGAAGAAAGCCTCATCTTTTAACCACAGAGTAGTTGTGGTTCAAAGTCTGGTGCTTATCCTACAGGGCCACCACAGTCCTATTTAAAACCATTAGGGGAAAACAGTAAACAAGTAAAACTGCTTTCCCTTAAAAAACAAAAAAACAAAAACAACTTTATGGAATTTTGGACAGTTGGATTTTGTCCATATGGACGTTAAGTGATGAATATTTGTATATGGTCACATGTCTGGCATGTAGCAAGTCCTCATTAATTTATTGAGATGATAGTGTTAACATATTGCTGTTTTGCTTCCAATTACTTATAAAATTCTTTAAAAAGATCATATATATTGCTTTTAATGGCCGGACTATTGAAAAAGCCTGTCAAATATCACAGTATGTAGAAAATTATCATTTTCTGTCATATAGTACTTACCTACAATAATTCCGTTATTTTAATACATAACACATTGCTGCAGAAAGGGATAATATTTTCTTTTTTTTTTTAGTTGCGTTTGGTTTGTTTTTGCTTCTTGTGATCTTTTATATGGTTTCCAAGGAGCAGCCAGTGAGCTTGAACTGCGAACCTTGCGATTCAAACTGACTTTGCAGTCCAACGCAGTAACTCACAGCACTCCAATTACTAGAGGGGTTATAACTGATATTTGTAAATAAAAGTAGATATATACTGGTTATAAAGCTTCTCCCATATGTATTAGCTCTTATGCTAAAATGCATAAGGCATTAGACTGAAGAAAACAATGAATACTGAAGAAAACAAATGAAGACAGGTAAAGTCAAATACAGTTTCATAGTCCTGTCTCCCAAGAATCATTACTTGAAGAAAATTCCTGAATACTGCCATACAATTTCAGAGACTTTTCTTGGAGAAGAAGTGTTTCTTCAAGATTACTTCCAAAGATGTTATGGATGTTAAAATGATTTAGAATATAACATCTGAAAAAGAAAAATAAAGTTTTTCTTAGGATCAAATGTAGATGACCTGATAAAGCATGTGTTTTCATCCTGTGCTTGTCTACCTTATAAGATGTACCCATAGATACTGAAGTGCCTGTGATAATTCCTAAGAGCCCTACTCACCAGGAGCTCTGGTAGTGTAGTGTTTATGAATCAGGCTGCTAACCTCAAAGTCAACAGTTTGAAACTACCAGCTGTTCGGCGGGAGAAAGATGAAGCTTTCTGCTCTGGTAAAGATTTACAGCCTCGGAAACCCTGTGCAGGGTCACTATGAGTTGGAATTAACTCCATGGTACTTAACAAGTCACCAGAACAATATTTTAAAAGGAAAAAAGGAGTTTTAGTGAAAATTAGGATGCCTGATAAGAATCTTTAGATGGTGCTCTTTTATAACCTTCATTGAGTTTCTTTTCAATGCTGACCAAAAGTCTGAGGCCCTATCAACTTCATAGATTTCATGAGGGGCCAGAAGTCACAAGAAGTTAAATATACCACACTAGGAATTTGGTGTTGAGAATGTGGAAAACACCACTGTTGAAGAAGAAATCCATGAATGTATTTCTGAATGTGCCCGAGACCTAAGAAAAATGCTTACTTTACAAATGGCTTCTTGAGTGTATTGTCAGTACCAGGTATCATGATAGTGAATGATACTCACCCTAACTTATTGAATTCTCACTGGTGTGGTGCTGTAGGATACACATGCTAAGCAAAGTTGGTTTGAACCACAAAGTTGGTGGCTCAAACTCACCAGCCACTCCTAGGAAGCCATATTCCTTCTCAATACATTACTAAAAATAACTGTAAGAGACAGTGAATGCTGCCTAAACAACTGGTCATTTGTTTCTGATTTACTTCTCTTTAAAAAACTGTTCTTGATTATACACAAAAGATTACTGGTATCTTCGATAAAATGAGTGCAATGATATCAATTTTATAAGATATGTTGCATAACATTGGAGGGGCAATGGTTTAAGTTGTAAAAAAACACCCTCCCACTCTCTGCCCATTCACAAGAAAGATCTATAGTTTCTATTTTAGCATCAAACATGTTGTTGTTGTTGCTAAGTTCCGTTGAGTCGATTCCGACCCAAGAGCAGCTGGTGAGCTTGAACCGCTAACCTTGCAGTTCGAACAGCTTTGCAGTCTGGCACATTAACCCACAGAGCCACACCAGGACTCCCAAAATAGGCTACATTTAAGTACTACAGAACATATTTTTCTAATAATTTTCAGCAAGAAAAAAATATTTCATTTGCCTATTTCTCCACTCCCAAACAGGAAAGCCTTGGATATGAAATGCCAGGATTTCACTCTTTTAGATCTGTCTGGGGAGGACTCTAATATAGACAGACCAAAACCAAACAAACAAAAAACACACCACACAACAACAAGCAGACTGCCATCCAATCAATTCCAATTCAAAGTGATCCTATATGGGAGGCCAGAGGCAGTAAATCTTTATGGGAACAGAAAGTCTCCTCTTACTCCCATTGACCAGATGATAGATTCAAACTGATGAACTTGTAGATCCCTGGTGGCACAATAGGTTAAGTATTGGGCTACTAACTGGTATATCAGTGGTTTGAACCCACCAGCCCCTCTGCAGCAGAAAGATGAGGCAATCTGCTTCCATAAGGATTTATAGAAGGGGTGGGGAACATCCTGTCCACAGCAGTGTGTTGTAGTTAAGTGCTATAAAGTCTGTTCCAACTCATAGCGAGTCTATATAAGGTTTCCAAGGAGTGCCTGTTGAGTCTGGACTACCAACCTTGTGATTCAAACTGACCTTGTGAATCCAGTGTTCTATCCCACAGACCGGTGACCATATGAGGCCCAAGAAATCATTTGTTCTGGCCCTGCCAAGGCAACTGCAGTTCCAGCTATCTCATTGCTGTTGTCATTGTTGTTGTTGCTGTTGTTAAGTGCCTTAGAGTTAATTAAATGTTTGACCAAATATAGCAGACCAAATTTTTCAGTTGATAATTTGTATGGCCTGTGAATGTTATAAATTTTTCCAGAAAAAAGGGTCCCCTGATTTACAGGCTTAGAAACCCTATGGAACGCTTCCACACTGCCCTATAGGTTTGCTGTGAGTCAGAATGAACTCTCCGGCTGTGTGTTTGGGTGTACATTATGGAGGGTGAATTTAGTTCCTTATGAACTTTGAAAGGTAAGATATTTAAAAATTCTGGGAATCATAAAGGCTTTGATTTTGTCATTAATATTTTACCTTGCATGGGATTTATTTAGTTGTCTTTCTCTTATGCATGACTGTATATGCTCCACTAGAGCTGGAGCATGGTGGTGGTGTGCCATGGTGTCAGTTTCACCTCATAGTGACCCTGCACAGGGTTTCCAAGGCTGTAAATCTTTATGGGAGCAGGAATTGTAACTATGGCTATGAAATGATATACAATAGGATGAATGTAAAACTAATGTTTTCCCATGTAAACTATCACACAATTCACAATAAAACAAAACAAAAAAATCTTTATGGGAGCAGAAAGCCTCATCATTCTCCTGCAGAACCAAACTGCTGACCTTGAGGTTAGCAGCCCGACTCATAACCACTACGCTACCAGAGCTCCTTAGCTTTTCAGAGCAGCAGCATAGTGGCACTAAATGCTTATTGGTTTCCTGACTTTATATCCTTCTAGTCCACTGTAGTACCCATCATATAAATGACGCTCCAAAAGTGATTTGTTAGATGAATACAAGGCAAAGGAGAAGTGACAAAGTATTGACTAAGTTGTTCTGTCTAGTCCTTCCAACTCATAAAGACCATGTGTAGGGCTTCCAAGGAGAGGCTGGTGGGTTTGAACTGCCAACTTTGAGGTTAGGAGTTCAGTGCTTATCCTACAGCACCATATCAGAAGTCCATGACTAAATAGATTAAAAAAAAAAAAAATGAAGAAAGGTGAAGAAAAATCTGTTTCATTATACTACTACGTGCTGTACATTGTGCTTCACCTTTGATTAAAATTAATTCCACTATAACCTACAAGAGGGTGGTTTTATTGTCTTTATTTTACTTGTTTGAAAATAAGAGCTCAGAGAGGTTAGGCAATTTGCTTAAGGACACACAGCAATCCAGGAACATGTCAGTGAGAGAGAGAGATGGGCTGGTGATGAACTGGTGGTAGATGATCCACATTAAGCCATTGAATAGTCTCAGGTGATTGACTAAAGGATTTTACACAGTTTGTTATTGACCTTCAAATGGTCATTATCTTATTTAAAGACCTAAATGGATTCCAAATTAAGCATCATGGAATTTCCAGCTATTTGTTTAACGATATTTTCTTTTAATGATCATGATTCATTCATTCTTATTATCAATATGGCTATTTCTAATTCTAAAGTGGCAATAATTTAGAGGAGAAAAAAAGTCTTGGTTTAAAATACATTTTGGAATTGAGTAAAGCATTATTTTCTTATGAGAATCCATAGAAAAAATAAAATCTAAATGGTAATTTCTTCCTCTGAATAATGTGTTAAATTTCTATAATGTGTTAATTTGTCCATCCATGGCAAACTGGTTTCTCATTGGCTTGCTGATGATTTCCAGACCAATATTTCATGAGCTCAGAAATTGTTCATCTTTCCACACACCCACTTACCTTTGTGTGACATGCCAGAATCCCAGGATGTTCAACAATGTTAATGATGCCAAGAAGAAGAAGAAGCTTTCTAAATTGCCTTTGTTTAATGTGTTTGGAAACCAATTGCCTGTTTGGAACAAATGTAATTGTTATTCAACTGCAGAGATGTAAATTTCTGTGAATATTTTATTATTCCACAATTCATAGAGCTTTATTTGCTTCAATAATATCTACAAAGCAACAAAGCTCATCTGAAACTTCATTGTCAAAGTTCATTTAATCCTTTAATTGATAAGCACAGCACCTAAATATTATAAATATTTTGAAGGTCAAGAACTCTAGATTTGCATAACATGATTTGGGTGTCAGAAGAACTAAGTTCTAGGTAATTCTGATTATACATTAATTATTAATTAACCACACTTGTCTGATTCACCCTTATATTTCTGGTCTTTAGAACAATGCCTGGCACATAGGGATTGTTTAGTAAATGTGAAAAATCTTCAGTAAATTGAATGAATGAAAAATGTTTTCCATGACCATGAAATCTTGTCAAATCCAGTGTTAACTTTTACAGTATCAAAGACCCTTTTGGTCAAATTATTTGCAATTTCCAAGTTATGTGGAGATTTTCTTTTGACATAGTAAATAATACTTTCAATCTAATACTCCACAATAAGGAATCCCCATTTTCTTAAAATGTCCAGATGAGTATATATGAAACTATTCAGGATTCAAGATATTTGCCTTTACTTTGTCCATAAGTTTTGACTTTTACTTTGCTTCTTTGCTATAACTGTATGAGGGGACTTCACAAAGTTCATGGAAAAATTTCATTGTCTATTAATTCCATTTTTCCTGTTAACTTTTTGAAATACCCTTGTGTATTTGTGTGTGTATAGACATATGCATTTTCCTCATTGGAGTTGAGATATTTTTATTGAAGTTATTATATAAAAATGAATCTATATCACTGTATTGATATTGTATATACCTGGACCCATGGCTGTCACATTGATTCTGACTCATAATGACCATGTGGGATAGAGTAGAATTGCCCATAGTATTTCCAAGGCTGTAAATTTTTTTATTTTTTTATTTACGTTTTTATTGTGAATTGAGTGAAAGTTTACAGGGCAGATCATCAGTTTTTACATTCAACAATTCATATACTTTGTTTCATTATAATGATTATAATCCCTTCTATGTACCATCAGTCAACAGTATTTCTCTCTATTCATTTTAGCTCCTTTTTTTCATTAATTTTTTAAACACTCAGGTATATATAATAATTTATACCACCAAAGGGAATATTCCGAAAATCTGTCTCCTGGCCACCAGCTCTCAGTCTCTCTCATTTCATGAATCTAGAGTCCTCAGATGCTCCCTCTCTCCATGTCCCCATCTTTGTGGAAGGCTGTAATCTTTATAAAAGTAGACTGCCACATCTTTCTTTACAGAGTGGCTGGTGGGTTCGAATCACCAACCTTTTGATTAGCAACTGAGTTCTTAACTATTGTTTGGCACTTGTTGTTTGTTCTTAGGTGCCATCGAGTGGATACTGACTCACAGTAACCCTATGCACAACAGAATGAAACACTGCCCAATCTTGGGTCAACCTCACAATTGTTGCCACGCTTGAGTCCACTGATGTTGCCACTTTGCCAATCCATCTCGCTGGGAGTCTTCCTCTTTTTCTCTGACCCTCCACCTTACCAAACATGATACCTTCCTCTAATGACTGCTCTCTTCTGACAATATGTCCAAAATATGAGAGATGAAGTTTGGCCATCCTGGCCTCCAAAGAGCGCTCTGGTTGCACTTCTTCCAGCACAGATCTGTTGTTCTTTTAGCAGCCTGTGGCACTTTTAGTATTCTTCTCCAAAACCATAACTCAAACGCATCAATTCTTTTACAGTCTTCCTTATTTGCTGTCCAGCTTTTGCATGCATATGAGGTATTG